TTTCTCGATTATTAGCTACTGTTATAGCTTTTATTTTAGTAGCTTTACTTTTACTGCACAGTAACAATAGTTACTCATGTAATTCTTAAGCTTGAGGTTTCAAGCCTTTTAATGAAAGGGCATTGAATCATTTCTTAAAAAAACCTTGTGAGGTGCTGCATCAATTTGGCACAAACATTGCAATTTAAAAGTACAAAAGCCCGTTTCACTATAGGAATCGAGCCTTGACAATCATCCACTGCATGCTTGAACCTATTTTTTCCCCTCTTGACATGTATAACTTCAAGTTGGACATATACTAAGATAGCAGCTAAAGACATTTATGGTGTTACTATTCGAGATACATTCTCCATCATTAATCAGACAAGCAGATTAGATTGGATTTTGACTTCCAATTTTCTCAACAATGGACATCATAGCATTGAATTCTTATATGATTAATACTTGACATTAGATAATATAGAGATATCATCCAGGAGGTGAATTCAGAAGCATACTGGTGATCAATGCGGCAAGTTAAAGTGGCAGATATAATAGACCGTAGTTCTTCATCTGTTATGTTCTTTCTCGAATAACCAAAAATGCCGACATTCTGCAACCATGGAATATCAGAACAGCTGTAAATCAACTTTGTGTTCACATAGATATCAAACTAGGAGATGCAAACTCCATTCAATTTATATTTTGAGAAAGAATCTCCATTCAATTTCTTGAGGTACAGCTCTTCAATAACCTGGAATATGTCAATACCCAGTGAAAATAAATATTATGCATACCATTCTCCACAATACTAAAAAAATGTGTGACACAAAATTCTGATTGGACTAATAAGTGAATATGATATGATGCGACAATGAGTGGCACAAACGTATGTGCCCCTAGATAAAGTAAGAGTGGGCTGACCAAAAAATTTGATGAAGCATGTGAGTGGAATGCATTTTAAACCGAACTTTTTGAAAACAAAACTGGGATAACAATACTTATATTATATAAGTGAAGATCACCCTACCTCAGGAAGAAAGCCACTATAATACAACGCAAACAGCGCTGGGAAAATTTTTCTGGTTGCTAGCTCACCAGTAGCTCCAACGACAGCAATACTGAGCAATGGTACCTTTTCATCCCCGGCGACGTAGTTTGGCATAAGTGACTGTGGCAACGGCGAAGTAGACGCTGAGGAAACTTCAGYATCCACTGAAGCATCACCTTGCAGATTACCAGATGCTGCAGGATGTGCAGTTACTTTAGTTGCCTCTGAATTGGAATCTGTTGAATCAAGATGCTTAGTTTAGTTCACAAAAAATATAGTAAATGAGAGAATGGAAGGCAACTACGTGGACTAACCACTGGAAAAGTTTGATTCTGGGACTGCTTCAGGGACTTGCCATGCATGTGACAAAGTTTCCTCAAAAGGTTTTTCAAATTCGTCCTGTTTATGGTTTTTTATAGTCTTGAACTTCTGTGATAGTCCTGATTTCCCATTATGTTGCAGAACGCTTAGGCTCTCACTTATCCAGAGTTTCAAGCCACGAAAGATCCGGCAGAAATTGGAAGCTCTTCCTGATCGGAAGCTATCTGGCCCAATCTAAATTCACCAATAAGCAAAAGGCACCCACAAAGTTCAGAAAAAGAAGGAAGTTTAATAAAATATTCGACAATTGAACCCCAAATTTTTTTAATGATTTTCCACAGGTTGTTCCTGCCCCCACCCCACTCTCTTTAATTACAATATTTACGATGATAAATCTCACCATCTGATTAACAAAGTGATTGGTGACGTAGTTCTTGCCATGATCACTTATTTCGCTACTCGAATTCACATTTTGTGAAGAATATCCTTAACTGTTTGAAAAAATGATGTAATTCTAAAAAGACTTAATCCCCATTTTCTGTTTTCAGTTCCAAACATATTTAGGAATTCTAATGCTCTAGAATCTTCATCAGGATCAACCGACAATGAAGCAGAATTAAAAGTGAGTAATGGATAATTATGAACACTCACATGGTAGCCGCGGTAGGGGATTCTGCGGCCATTGRAGCAAAGAGGGACAGTTGCTGGAGGAGCTGAGAAAGTTGAAAACGACATCGAAACTTCGTCGTTTGGTCGATTTGGTGAGATATCGGAACTCTGCTTCTGCGATTAGCCGGCCATGGTAGGGAACTCAGAGACGATTGCATCTCTCGAACTCTGTTTCTGGCTGCAGGAGATTATTATCCTCTGTCGGGCTGGCTCGGCCCAAAAAGATAGGCTCAGGACCAATGGGTTTGAGTTACATTTATCATCACTCGCTCAAATATTATAATAAATTGAAAAATATTAAAATGCATGAAATCGAGAGATTTTAAATATATATTTTTTAGAATAATATGTGAGACGAGGATTTGAACTCTCGACTCTTGACACGATGTCCGAGGTCTAAGAATTGACATTTCTAGTTCTTGAAGTTTAAGAATTAATTTTAAAGAGTCACTGGACTCTACTTTAATAAATTAATTTATTACAGTAAAATAATTAATAAGTATATATCAAACGTACACAATATCATTATATTGCATGCACTTCTCCCCTTTTGCTTTTCTCAAATACATTAGTTTCAAAACAGTTTGTTACTCAACACGAATTTTCACAACTCTCGGCTATATCCTCAAAATATATATATATATATATATATATATATACACACTGCCTAACAATGGAGTTCCTCAATTTCTTTTTCGTATTAACTTCTCTTTTCTCTTTCTATATATTCATAGTATAATCTATATTTTAAACAAAATCATATCATTATTATTTAAAAATTGAAGGTAAAAACATTTATTGGCGTAAACACAATATTCTTATGCGGGTAAGAAAACAAGAGGATGTAGCGAGTATCCATAATTAGACACATTTTTATTCTCTTTTACCATTTATATTTTATTTGGCTATTGATAGAATTTTTTTCCTCATTTAAAATATTTTCATGTTTATTATACGGGTGAAGCTTTGTGTTGACTTGTAAATAACAGTGAATACACTACTAACAAGAACAAGAAATTAAGGTGTGAGCTAACTAACTCTTTTATATTATAATTTAATTATAACATATTATAAAAATGTTAAAAAAAAATTCGATTAGGTTATTGTCTAGCCAAATCCACCTACAACATAAAACGTGACACAAGTGTCGCCACAAAATCTTTTAGCTTGCCTTTTGGAATGTTTTCATGTTTGGTCATCTAATCYGCATTTTATTCTAAAAAATGTTATTCATCAAATGCCACAAAAGTTTTTTTAGTGGATCAGAATAGCTAGAGAATAAGATTGTCCACATTTCAAAAGGCRGTCTAGAAGATTTTGGGGTGACACTTGTATTAGATTCTGCACCAAACATTAGGGTACCCATTTASTATATTTATTTTCTTTTAGTTATGTCATCATGTGGTACGAAAGGAGAAGAAAGAAAGCTTCATCATCATATGCATCTTTATGCTGTCTGAACCTTTTAAATATTTCACTTATGAAATGATTGAGAAATTGAAGGATGTATCTTGATGTTCTATTACACAGGTCATTAATTCTTCATCCCCTCCAATTTTACCATTTTATGTTACTAAACTTATTTTTTAATTTTATGTTTGTTTGCCAATATAAGCATAGCTCAACAGTAATTGGTATGCATTCTTTCTCTCAAGATCGGTGATTCGATCCCCACATTCCCAAATTGTTGTACTAAAAATATTTATGTTTAAATCTATCTCTAAATTTTTGTGAATCAACTGCGTCCTACAATCTATTCACATTTTATTGCTTTCGCGGTGTCCCGATTATTCGGAGTTAGCTAGTTACGCTCCGTTACATGTAAAACTGTGACTGGCAACCAGTCTTCMAATGTAGTTCAAGTGATTTTTTATTATTTATAAATGGTTAATTTTGAAGTATGCAATGACTAAAATAGACATTACGAAAATTCATTAGGAGGAAGGTCTATGAGAATGAGAAGAATAATGGTGAGATTCAAGCATTCGAACGACTTGGGCCATTTTTGGTCTGTTGTCAAAATCTGGATCCACACATCTCAATGCAACCAACAGCACTCTTTTCAGCCCTCTCGTGGATGGCCTTTCTCCTATCTTTGGGTCCACCACTTCTTCACATCTTCTACTTCCAATCATCATTTTAAGCCAATCTACCACATTCACCTGCCATATATCCACGTCTATTTAGTTCATATATTTTTAAAATATTCTATTTTTAAGTTACGAGTTTAGTACTATGAACGTACTAAACTTCCAAATTTGTGTTTAGAAAAAACAATAATCTACTACGTTCTCTAATTTTCAATTTTGTGTCTCCTGACCTATTAAACACAATAGTGTAAGTTTAAGAACTTATTAAACACCGTTAAATACCGTTAAATAATTGAAAATTTGGAGTCTATTAGACATTTTTTAAAGTTCATTAACCTATTAGGCAATATAAAGTTCGGACTAATTTTTATTGAGATTCTAATAGCCCCATCCATTTTTTATTGATCTGTTAAGTGCTCTTTGTTGCTGGTTTAATGTCGACACACACAAAATTTAACTAAACCTGTCTAAAATCAACCATCTCCATTTGTATAATCTTTAAATAATATAGTTTCTGACAAAGTTAATGACAGGATAATAGGTGATTTTTTTTTTTACATAAAATTGAAAATTTAAGGGYCAGATAAACAACCTTAAAATTTCAAGAATTTATCGGTACTTTTTAAAAGTTGAAAAATCATGAATGAAATTTGGTAATGTTATCAATATTATTAATGTACCTGTTTGGGTGGACGTTCATAGTCCACTGGATCTCTTCCTGTGATTGTCTCTACCAGCACAACTCCAAAGCTATACACATCGCTCTTCTCGTTCAAAAGCCCGGTATTTGCATATTCAGGAGCTACATATCTGTAGACATAAAAGCAAAAAAAAACACCCAACACATTACCAAAAACTAATGATTGTATGAGAATTAAGTGATGAATAGATGAATTAATAGAATACCCAAATGTGCCCATAACTCGTGTTGTAACATGAGTCTTCCCAGCATCCATCAACTTGGCCAGCCCAAAGTCTGATAGCTTGGCATTGAAATTCTCGTCTATTAGAATGTTGCTTGCTTTGATGTCTCGATGCACAACCTTTGGCTCGATTGCCTCATGCAAGTACGCAAGCCTGTCGCATCACAACAATCATGTCTACAAGTGTCAAAATTTCTCGAAAAACCAACCACCACTAAGAACTTTACAACTACTTAGCTCTCTCCTACTTGTCAAAAATACAACGGTTTTTACCGACCCTTTGGCAGTCCCGAGCATGATCTTCATGCGAGCGTCCCACGTAAGATGTGTATTCTCTCCCATTCCTCCATGCAGCCACAGCTCTAAGCTTCCATTGTTTACATACTCGTAAACAAGCATCCTGAAATGCTTGAGATTCAGATCAGTGGACCAAATTAAAACTAATTCCTTTGGAATTTAGAGTGAGATTTGTTGTACCTATGAGTCCCTTCAATGCAGTATCCCAGAAGACGAACCAAATTCTTGTGGCGCACATGCCCAATTGCTTCTACTTCCGCTCTGAATTCCTTCTCTGCTTGGCCCCTGAACGCCATCGACTTTGATTAAATTATAAGTTTGATCTTTGAATTTTTTAGGTTGTGTCTATTTAATCTCGAATTTYTAAACAAAAATTCAAGGTTAGAATGTATGTTTTTAATTCCTAATGTTTGATAGTGAGTTGGTAAAAATTTACGATTACTTACTTATTAAATATAATTATAATATTCATTGATGAAAAGGGTACGATGGAACATTCCTAAAATAAAAGGACTTAATTGAAACAAATTTTTTTTWAAAAAAGTAAGAATTAAATTAGACAAAACACTAAAACATTAACAACTAAAATATATATTTAGCTAAATTTCAAGATTGTATATTAAGTCTTCTACCTTCAAAAATTTCTTACTGAATTTTTATTTTTGCATCTAATCCATTCCTCTTTGTGTTAGTTGAATAATTACTCCTTCAAACGCTTCTAAACCTACCTAATATTATCCCGCCACGTAATTTTTAAATAACATGCAAAAAACATTAAATGGATCCTATTAAAACAGTAACTTATTAGATACAAAATTAAAGGTTCAAACACGGAAGGGCTTAAACGGTAAACTTACTGGCTATTGAGAATCTTCTTGACTGCCACTGGTGTCCCATTGAGCAAGCATCCTCTATACACAACTCCATACCCACCTTCCCCAATGACATTCTCTTGGGAGAACAAGTTTGTGGCAAGATCCAGCTCTCTCAGAGTAAACCAGTAGCCCCACCCCAACCGAGCCACGTTCGGCAGCCCGGCCAGTGGCGAACGGACCACCGTGGTCGGGGACGACGAAAAGGGTCTGTACATTGTGACAGTGCCAGAGCTGCCTTCATCCCCTGACTGAGATCCATAGCCAAAAGCCAATGGATGAAGAAATGACCCTGATTCACTGCTGTAACTCTTCTCCTTCCCCATGTGGATTGTTATGTTGTCTTCCACTGCCTTTATTTCCTTTGAAAGAGTTGGGATTTGAGTGAGAGGGAAGCTGTTTGTTGGCTTTTTTGACTTCTTCTTAAGTGAAGTTAAACAGAGTGAGAGGAGGCAGAGGATGGAGAGGATGACGAGGCCTACTCCAATTCCTATGAGCTCCCACACTTGGAGACCAAAAAGATTTGTTTTCTTTGAGAGTCGTGTGTTTAGATCACTGGCCATGGCTTCTATCTTCTTTGGATTCCTGTGAAAGTTAGAGAAGGAAATTTTAGTCTCATTTGAACCATGTTCTTGTACGCAGCACCTATACAAGTAAGAGAGAGAGAAGTGGTATTTTCCTCTTATTACTCTGCTATCATGACATAAGTAAACCCTTTTTGTTTCCTATAATCCGGAATCGAAACTATTTAGCTTTTGGCTTACTTCTGCATAACTGGGACACACACGTTTGCCCTATGACCTAGACCTAGGAAACATCGAGATTTTTTGTTATTAAGCTCATCTGGGATTTTGAACATGAGATCTCTTAATAGTGTTACTAAGAGACTTCATGCCTTCGCCTCCTTGAAAGTTTCTAACATAAGTGAATTATAAACTAGAGAACACGAAATTAAAATGAATCATACTTCACTACTGATTGGGCAATAGGATTTTTAGCTGCCCACCACCAAAGTTTTTATCGGTATTCATTTTCTTCCAGAAAAGAAAAAGTCTATCTTCTATCTCTCTCTCTTATGCTTGTTAAAAACTTAGTGGTGGACAATATGAAGAGTAGTACTTATCTCATGCCTGGACGGCAAGAAACTCTTGCAGCCTAAGATGTGGTCTAATAGCAAAGTGATGTCAATTTGCTATTAGATCACGTCCTGGGTGGCGGGAAAGTTCACGTGGCCCAAACCCGAGATAAGTACTGGTATAGAAAGAAAAACAGAACAAGTTTTTGTTATCCCCTTACCTGAAAGAGTTGGATTTGTAGTTGATTACAGAGCCAACTTCTGAAATTCCTTTGCCACACCCAAACACCCCCTAATGGCATAGAAGCATCCATCCTTCAAAGTAAACCCAAAACAAATCTCTGAAGAAGACATCACTGAATTGCAGCAGAAAAAACAAACACTCAGAAACCTCTGATGAAACAGGAGGAGGAGGAGGCAAGAAAATGGATGACAGAAAAACTTAAGTATGAAGAAGAAGAAGTTGTCATCATAAGTAGTTTTGCACCTTTCTCAGAGCAGCACAGAGAGTCAAAAAAGAAGCAAGAAAAAAGAAAGAAATTTGTCTAAGTCTTCATGGGATTCATTCACTTTGATTGTGGTGATAATGACTGCTCATCAGCAATTCAGTAGCAGAGTGATTTAAAGATATAGGATTAAAATTCCATGTGTTTACTTGTATGCTACTTAATTTGCTCATCTCTGTGCATACTTTAGGTGGCAACTGCTTCACTTTTGACTTTTGCTTTCCTTAATTTAAACCCCATCACTTTGAAAAAGAAGTAACGATTCTAAAACTTCAAAGCAGCAAGTTTATGAAGCATATCAGATTCCATTATCAACTTAAATAACCTACAGGGAAAAGGGCTAATTTTGATCCATAATCTCACTGTCAAAACAAGATCTTTGACTGAGCACACCATCAAATTACATGTATTGGTCCTCTTTACATAGTATTGTTGAGCTTAATCATTAAATAGACTGATCTGACAGTGGAACCAAACCACACATAAGCTTCAAATATGTTACTCTGTTAGCACTCCACAAACCTATTTAATCTTCCGTTTAAATACTATTTTAGTCTGTTGTAATTTCAATTTTGATTTATTTTGATCGATGTGTTTTCGACTTTCATTCATTTTAGTTTATGTACTCTTGAAATACCTGTTTAATTTGGCCCTTATTTGCAAAATTTTAACACAAATTGTATACACGATGAAAATCTTTCGATAAAAAATTTAAGGTTACATTAACAAACTTATTGAAATAAATGAGATAGAAATAAAAATAAATGGACCAAAATGGCCACTTTTTAAAAGTTTGGACTAAAATAAACAAATTTTAAAAGTATAAATACCAAAATGAACCCAAATAAAAGTATATGATATACCCTTCAAATTCTTCGACACCATTTACAAAAGAATTTTATCTACCTTAAATAAAGAATAATATGTAGGATTGATCATTGATCCGTCAACATGTATCTCCCTACTAGCCACTATTTTTTTTTAATATAACATGTTGGGAAAGAGATTCAAACTCACAACCTCATGATTGGAGGTATATATCAATTACCGTTGAGCTATGCTCGCTTTGGCCTCTCTACTAGCCACTATTAGAAAGTTGATAGCTGAAGAGAGATTTTTTTTTAATCTTTTTATAAATAAAAAATAAAAGAAAAAATCTCTCTTCTCCCTCCTTTATGCGTTTTATTCTCTCTATAGCGATAGATCGGTAGGAATACCCACTGAACGATGAACGATGAGTACCCAAGTATTATTTTTAAATAAATACAATACTTGCAAATGAAATTTTGAGTTTGAGTGAACAGTAAAGGTTTAGGTGGCTAATCCAGAAGGGTTAGTGGTTAATACTTAAAATCAGCCAACGGATAYGGTTGGTGGATGTCTAATTGTGTCCCATTTCCCACAACGAAATGCCTTATTTTTCAATTTAATTCATTCATTCAATCATTCATATTCATACAACGATTTGAAAAAGACATTCAATTTGGTCAATTGCTGAGAGACCAAACATTTAATGGGTCTTTTTGCAATTGCATGGTTTGATTAGATATCACAACAGTCTTCTCTGTTCTCTACTCTCCTAAAGTCACCATCAACATCATTGCCTCCACAACCCATCCTTTTTGGTTATGTAAGCTGAGAATTCCCATGGCTATGGTTAGGTTCTATAATTAAAGTTCGTGATATGGTTGGAGTGAGGTAAAGGTGTGTACTATCGCATTCAAATAGATGTAACATTGGCTAGACGTGATGTAGCCATCTCGATTACGAAACTCTTATCACTTCSTTTATTGGATGTGTTTTGAAGAGTAATTTATTTGCTTTGATATCTCTAGGATGTAATAATAGAGAATTTGTGTAATTCGTTAGAACTCACTCGTTTTAGTCATCTCTAGRAGATCTGTGATTTGGTATTAGAGAAATGTGTAGTTTGGAGCCGGTCATGATGTTGTTGCATGATCGCGTGCATGTTGGCCTAGTGAGGTGGTGAGGTGTGAGGTGACAATGCAAGAGATAGTGATGAAGAGTGCAATGGAGGGTTACTTGCAAAACAAAAAGTGCCGAACATCAATGTGGTGTCTACCAAATGCACTTTGACATTTCAGTCAAYTTGAGTCTCGAATTTGACAAAATTTTTGTATGGTCGAGATCTATTCTTCACCTCTATATATATAGAGAATAACTGCAGCTTGCAGCTTGACAAGTAATCATCAATCACAGTTGACTTGATAAAATGCTTACAATACTATGAGTTGCTGCAATGGGTTGTTGATCTATCTCATTGCATGCCTATAGGATAGGTCGATGTTTGGGCTATGTACCTTGATATCACTTGATTGACTACTTCCACTGGCTTCTTTGAGCCATGACCCACTRAGAGTTTATAGTCTCACCCAGTTGAGTTATTATCCACCCGATCTACTACCACTTGAATTAGGTGGTTTTTTTCTTTTTATTGGGCCTTATTTAATTGTTAATCCTGATTGTAAATAAATGGGAAATTTTGATTGTAAGTTGTTGAGAATGTTGATGAGGATGGTGGAAAATTGAGAGATTTTGATGTTGAAAGAACCAACAAAAAAGGGGAAATTGGTTAGTGGCTTTGTTTGGTTGTCACTTCCTCCGACACCGAAAGAAGCAACTTCCACGACTTTTTGACTGAAAATATGTCTTAATCAGTTAAAYTATATTCTAATTGATTTTTTTTAGAAGAGGTGCAACACAAAGACTTTCCAAATCATCGCTCAACTTGCTACACATTAAAAACAAAATACTCCACATTAAAACTACAGAATCACTTGCTGTGATTTGGCAATGCCACTGTAAATCTTTAACATCTTAGCATAAAGATTTAATAGTGTAGTCATTGTTCTACTTTTTCCTAAAGCTAATGAGAGAAGAAGGGTAAAATTCTCCTCCTACATGCTCTTAGCTGCTGCTTCCTACACTGTAAAAGCCTTCCCAAATGACCGACTCCTACCCATGCTACTGTACATTCTAATTTTACTTCATTCATCGCTTCGAAAACACTACCAATATCAACATCGACATCGAAGCCACGATCTTGAAGCCTGATGTTTCCCAAAAGTTTTGTTTTTCAGGATCTACAGCAGCTTCACCCTGTTTTCCCGCCAACTGTTCTCTCAGTTCCTTAATGGCTTTCTCCCGTCGCTCTCCRATCTGTTACGAAAAAAATGCATGTATAAGACCCTACTTCAATACAGAAACTTGTCTATTATTTTTGGAAGAGGGGGAGGAAGCCAATTTTTCATCTATGTGTTTTCTGGTGTGGGCCATGAATGGCAGGTGGGTCCAATTCTATTGCTGATCTTCGTTGAACCCCAAGAATGTTTTATCAACTAATTTATGTTCAATGTAAGTCTTGTCTACTACAGCTAACTAATCATCCAGTTCTAAACAAGTTTAGTGTTTACTCTTTGAAGTTTCCGGGTCTGAGTGCGAGCTTCCTGGAGACAGAATTCCAGCTTTAATACCCTCTTTTTCAGTTCTTGGTCGGCTCGGCGTTGCTTCTCTAACTGTTGACAAGAAGAAGAGTCAAAATATATAAATGAATACCATAGCCAAGGAAGTTGGATATGCTGCTACAATATGCATTCGTACTTGTGATTCCAACTCCTTGGTTTTAAGCTTCCAGTGAGCAGACATCGTCCTGATTTCATTTTTGAGTATTGCTATCTCTTCGTCTTTTGCAACCAACAACCTGTTGATCTTCTCAAAATTTTTGGGAGAAATCTCATCTAATATTTTCCTCAGCTCACAATCCTTGCTCGCACCAGATTTGGCTAGAGCTTCCATGATATCTTGCTCAACTCTCATCACTTCATCCTTGAGTTGCTTCTGAGAAGATTCCCTTGCCTGGAGTTCCTTCTGCAGATTGTCGAGTTGTTCGCCTAACCTAATAACGCGGTCTTCGTGCTCATTTAAAGAACTGTTCTTTTCGTTTAGTTCCTTCAAAAGCGCTAAACACTGGTTCTGTGCAGATTGAGCTGATGCAGCACTTGCATCAGCAGTTGCTTGAGTGGCGATAAGCTGTAATCTAAGTCCATCCAGCTCATGGAGATACTGCATCGAACAACAATTGGTTATGTATAACAATAACTTTGATGTATTGAAATAAGCCAACAAACTCTAAGAAGCTAATTCATAGTGCTGGGTTATATAATGCAAGAAAGAACTCCTATGAAGGTAACAGAGAAGTGGTTTAATGAACAAAATTAAGGAAGATATACAAACCAGATCCCACAAAAAAAGAAAAAAAAGGGATTTTGTTGTTTGTTATGGTGTCATGTTTTTTATTTTACGTAGAGCCTCGCTCCTTGCATTATGCTCATGGCCCACCCGTCCAATTCCTAGGGAGGCTTCACCTACCTCAAGGTCAGCTCCAAGAGACAAAAAGAGTCCCAGGTTAATAAGAAACCTCGAGGGTTGAGGCTTAAAGCCTTMAACATAAACCCAAAACCTTGGAATATCTATAAATTCTACAAGATGATTAAATTACCTTTATATTTTGAAATGGAAACCTCTAGTAATTAATGATGATATCTGTGGTCCTTAGACAGTGAGATACTGAATATGAAAAGCATAACCACCATGGTCAATAAATGCTTATTCAACCTTCATTATTGTAAAGATTTGTTTCACAGCATAACAATGGATTTCATCAGATTTCTTTTCCATATGTTCCATCAAATACATGCCTTCAAGCTATGATAGAAATTTAATAACAAATGTAAGGATGCAACTGGGATATGCTCACTACATGGAGCAACTAATTAGAATTTTAAAATAAGAAATTTTCATTTGTCTTCTCCAAGACAGCAGAAGGTCAACCTTTCAATTTTCATTTCCCAAAAAAAAAAATTATAAAAACAAAAATAAAAGGAATTTGATTAATTATGAAGCCATCATTAAAAAAAATGGAAAAAAAAGAAAATCAGCAGTTATCGGAAAGGGGGGAAAAGGAAAGAAATAAACATCCATATATTAAATATTGTCCATCTTTTCTTTCTTTTTTTTTTTCCGAGGACAATATATGGGGATGGAGATTCGAATTGGTCGAAGATAATTGTCTTAACCAGTTGGGCTATGCTGTAATATTGTCCATCTAAACTTGAAAGAAATAGTTAATTAGGAAACACAAAGTTCCACTAAAGGGAGGGGGGCCCAAAGGCATAGCTCAGAACCAAGCAACCATTGATTGGAGGACTTTGTAAGAACCCAATTTTCTTCTCCACACATGAAGAGGGAAAGAATAAATGAAATATATACACATTATCCTATACCTATATCAAAATTAAGAAAACGGTACAAAACTGAACTGGCGCATGTAAATCCCTGAAGAAGAAAACTGAACAATAACGAAACTCATCTCACTTTGAGCAAAAAAAATTAGTGGTGTTTCCGGGTAAGATTGTTTTAAGAAATTAGGAAGGATTGATAATTGATTAATCCTTTCCTTATTTCTACCCAAGATATATGTTCTGTGTGATATAACTCCTTTTTTCTCTCAAAAAGGAAGTTGACAATTTGTCTATTTCATCACTTTTCATTCATATTGATAAATAGAAAGTGACAGTTTCATTTACGGTTTGCCTTCATTTTCCCCCTCACTAACTAACTGCATATACAAATAGTTTGAATTCAAGTAAAGGGAGGGAGATAATAATAAAGTAACAAAATAGTACTTTTCCAACTTTCGTCCCATTAAAGAAGAAAGGAGGAAAACAGAGAGGGCAAAAGAAAAAGCGCATTCAAGGAGATGAGGCTGAGATGTGTGGCTTTTTGGGAACTCATTACCACAAGCTGGCCCATGAGAGAAAATTAAATCATTACTAGCAGAGTGTGATATCCTAAAGCAATAATGAATAAAAAAAATGCAACTTAAATGGATCTAACAACAAAAAGGATCTGTCCAAGTTTAATCATTTAAATCTTTATCCTGCTAAAGCCTTTCTACGAGTTTCTGGACAACCAAATGCAATAAGATCGGACAATTGTCTTGTTAGATTAGCCGAGGCACGTAACATAAACTGTCCTGAACCCTCATGACTAAGGAGAAAAAAATTCCTATCAAAGGGAAGAAAAATGGAAAATCTCTGAGAAACAGAGTTGGGAGTGGGACCTTGGTGGCAGTCGTTGCAGAAGTCTTGAGCTGTTCATCCTTCTCTTCCAATTCCACATGTAATCTCCCAATTTCTTGTTCCATAATCTTAGCCTTAGTCTCTGCCTCCTGTAAAAACAGCTCAAAAAATCACTTAAACTCGAACTCCCACCAAAAACCCCAAAAGGGAAAAACGCCTAAAAAGCGAATCATTGAGTTAAAAGTTTGAAAGATAAACAATATGAATGAAAAAGAAAGCTGCCCCAGAATCCCAAAATATCCAAATCACATGCCTGCCTTGTTTGAGTCTCTCTGAGAAATGATTCTTCCTTTGACGAAAGACGGCTTCGAGCCTCCTTCAACTCTGCCGCCAACGACGCGACGTTTCGCCGAAAGCTCTGCTTCCTCTCATTCAAATCCTTCAGCAATGGATCAATCTCCCGAGCGGGACTGGATGATGGCAACGAAGAAACCTTCTCTGGAACAGACATCGGGAGAAGAAAATCTGGATCCAACGGCGGCAATAAATTTGGTCCTCAAGAAATATGTATACAAGTTCATCCAAGGAATTTTGCAGTCCGCAATAAGTGGTCTCACGAGGTTGCTGTGTGAAACCTAAAGAGATGCATCTGCATGTGGGAGAGGTAGTTGCGTGCATTAAATAAAAATGGTCTAAGAGAATAAAGAAATAAATGATTGAAACTTGGAAATTACTACACAGAGTTGACGAAATTTCACTTAAAACTTCAGCAGCAGATTTAAAACCCATATTTAAACACATCCCAATAGACAAACCCAGAATTTTCTCGGGAAAGTTCGGTCAAGAAAACGTCAGGGATTTCATTATCGAACCCTCAATCAGTCAAACATCAAGGGAATTTCCAAATTTCCATAAACCCCACAGTGGCTTTCCTCCCAAAACACTAACCCAGAATCAGAAACTCAGAAAAAAATCGAAAGGGGAGAGAAATCACCATTTTTGAAGCAGAAATGGGAGATCCCAAGAGTTGCATTCAAATAAGCAGAAGCAGAGGCAGTAGCAGTAGCAGTAGCCAAGTGGTGGGTCGTTGTTCTTCTTTAGGGTACTGATTCAGTCGCCATTTTGATCACCTTACTACAGCAATAGGAGCAGTGGGAGTGAATCTCGGGTTCCGATTCATTTGTTTATTCATTTTATTTGAAATTGTGAGGATTTGAAATTTGCTTTTTGTCAGTATTGGGTTGAAGCGAAGACAGCAAAGCAACTGGACCGGGTGGAGGTTCGGTTTGAGAATTCCCAAACCTCGGGTTCGGAAAAGTTGACGAATTCCAAAGCTGAAAAGTGTGTGGTTCGTAGTTTTTGATTCGAAGCGCGGCAAAATTCCAAACCCAAAATTTTTGGCTTACAACAACGTGTCCTACTCTTTCTAGGTTTGGCATTTTTCTCTGCATTCAAAGTTAACCGATAATTGTGCAGATTCAAATTTTTACAACAAAAATAATTAAGACATCATAGGAATAACAATAAAGAAAATAGCACAAAAATTTTCAAAAATTTGAAGCTTTAATTTTTATCATTTAAAGTTTATGGGTACAATTAAATATTTAACTTTAACACTTGAAAACCTTTGAAGAAAAAACTCGCTTCCCGATCCTCTCTAAAAAAGGTGGAGATGGGTTATCAGGGGCATACTCCCCTCCTCTCTTTTTCCTCCATTGAAAGGGGTGTGTTTTCTCTCAATCTTTCGATTGAGTTTTTCATAAGGTATTTCTCTATGTTTTGTTCTGCTTCTTCCATGGTTTTTTTCGGGGAGTAAGTTGTATGGATCTAAATATAATAAGGACTTTCTTACGGTTGTGGAGGCGATTTTCAGGGAGGATCCTTATTCTCCGCTGGTTTGTGTAATGGCGGACAGTGGTAGGGTGCTAAAGATCTCTCCGCTGCATGTTGATAATGTTGTTGTGGCTGACAAAATCAAATGTAACATTATTATGTATGGTCTGTGACTTCATCATCTGGGCGTTTTGAAGAGTTGTGAATTGAAAATGGTACTCGCTTGCTCTCTTGTGATGACTCTTCATCTTGGTTCAGGGAACTTCCATGGTTCAAAGGCTACATAACAAAAGTTGTGCGACAGCAGAGGTGCAACGATGATCAATTCGAACACTTGTTTTCCTTCGTGGATTGTGATGGTGATGCGTGATTTGAAATCTGGRGAGGCTAATTGTATTACCATTTGTAACCAGGCATGATTTGTGGAATTTGCCCAATCCTTYCTTAATTGTTATGGTAGAATAAGATAACTTTGGAGGCAATTATTTCTCTTTCAATTGTGAATAGGAGTGCTATAATTAACAAGATACCTTCATTAATTTAGGATTCTCCCTCGATATCATTGAATGAAATTGAGGATGTTGTGACTTTAGAGAAGATGTTTAGTGCGCTAAAATTTGTTCATATTTCTATTCTTTGAAAGACAAGCTGTTTTATTGTTAAAGTGTATCATTTTTTATTATTTATCTGTCATTTGGGACAATTATTTTCCTCYGTGGATTGTGATGGTGATACGTGGTCACCACACTCTTTTGATGTAACYCTTAGTAGTCTTATTTCTTTTTAATACAACGTTTCTTTGTTTCCAAAAAAAAAAAGAAAAAATTTAAYACTTCAAAGTTTAAATGTGTAATTATAATAGTTATCATGCTTTGTGTAGTGTGTGCAATTTAAYTTAGGTTTATTAAAAGACTTCATATGGGTGAAATTGAATAAAGAAAATCAAGACTTCATTTTAATATTTAATTTTCTACAGTTACGAAATTTAAAAGGTTAAATATCCACCCCAAAAAGCTCCACCTATCCATTAAAAAATAAATAAATAATAAAAAATAGGGTTGAAGAAACCTCATATAACATGGGGTCTATGAATATAATGTTTCCTTCATCTTTCTAGGTGGCTTCTTTTACTGAATATTATATTTAACAATTAAATTAATATTTGCCAAAAAGAAAAATGTATTATTAATTGAGATAATACATTTTGATTTTGCTTTTAGTCAAAATACTTTTCAAAATGTTCTTTTAAGATCTTATTTATGTAATTTAAAACAAACTCATCATTGTAGTCTCTTAATTTTGATTTTTATTTARTGCACTCATTAAATTTATTAAAATATAACCATAAATTTGTATAAWGATTTTTTTTATATATGAAATTTGTATTATAATTTTAAAAAGAACCAAAATAGTCATTTTTTTGTTAAGTGCATCAATTAAAATGGACATTTTCAAAGTGCTCGAACTAAAATAGTTATCTCAAACTTTCAAACTATAGTAACACTATCTCTAGTTGGCAAGCCCATACAATATCTATCTATCTATCTGTGAATGTCTATATTAGTTTACACGCACCTCGATTGATCTCACGGGACAATCCCATCTTACAACATTTGGTATCGAAAAACACATAGGAATAAAATAGGTGGTTATCATGGGATTTGACAAAATAGGATATTCAGATCAATGTGTCTTTGGGGAAAAGATGACCTCTCTCCCATAATTCCCACAATCCATTGTTCCCTGTAAAATAGCATCTWYAAAATAGAACACTGAAAAACAGTTGAACACTAACATATACATCAAAAATAACTTCTGAATTACTTTCATAAAAAACCAAACAATGAAGAGATCTGAAAGTGAGTAGGGAATTAGATTGGACTGTATATGGAACTGCAATTCATCAAAATCTGCAGAGTCATTTCATTATGGATGGAGGAAACTCACACACTCGTCRGGCATGGAAACTCCACAACTCGACACCCACTAAAGTAAACGTCCACTCTACTCTACATCATACGGCCTTAACTTGGACCGAAAATGGTACTTCATTCGATAGTTAATTAGAGTCAAAAGCACCCAAGTATCAGTAAGACATTGGAACATGTACAAGAACTATGCTGATCATGAAGCCTGATACACAGGTTAAGTTATCCTCTAAGGAACTTTTTGAGCCATTAAAAGATTAATGACATTATTCTGCTCGGTGCATCCGCCTTTGAAGTGTTTTGGGGGTGAGCCCATGGTTACCGAAACCATGGCTGTGCAGCAGAAGAGGAACCGTAGCGTGCCGCTTTCATAAGCCTTGCTGTATATGCAGAGATGGAAAAACTACATGTCAATGGCAGCTCTTTAGGTCTAAGACATATGGTTAGCACAGAGAAGTAGCAAACTGAAAGATATAAATGTTTGTGCATTTCATCACAGGCTTCACAGCACATGAAAAGACCAGGAGTTTATGCTACAGGAGTAAACTTTTTTTACTATATTACATGGTGGATAGTGAAATATTCTTTTGATCGATTGAAAAGCCGGGAGAAAGCTAGCGAGCGGTTATATACAGGGAACTTAATCACAACATGGACACCGACCTGAATGCTAAACCAAATATGAAACACTTTTCAATGTAACTATTCATACAGATGGTACATAATCTATGGTTAGGAAAAATCAATAAGCCTAGTTATTCTTATTCCCATCACCTTACAGGCTCGATCCAGACAGAAGAAGCGTATCTTTAAAAAGTTGTTTTAAAAATGAGGGGCTCTGTCTGAAAGTTGTTTTTTGAAACCGATTTGTATTTTTAAGAACAAAAAATCGTTGTCCGAACCAGCTTGCGTGAACCTCGACTAGCCTGACCTCGCTACATCTGGTTGACAAGGTAACTCGTAGGATATTAAATCCTAGGTAGGTGGCCACCATGGTATGAAACATTCCCTCTAAGCCCTTTGCTATTTACAATGGCCCTTATTGACCACTAGGTCATCCCAAGATGGCTACGTCGTCTGTTTTTTCATAATAGCTAAAGGTGTCCTCTGGAAAATCATGGGTCTATACACAATAGTCTTGCTAATATATAATACTACAGGTCATCTCATCATAGGCCTTAAGAATATTTTTTAAAAACTATTTTGCAAAGCAGTCAATTGAGCTTTTTGGCTCACAAAAGTACTTTCTGTATTAAAATATAAGTAATAGTTTCTACACTGAAGTAGTAAACAAGCTGATAAGAGTAATGATGAGGAAACAAATCAAAACGGCTTGATTTGGTTTGGTTTGGTTCGGTTCCCTACACCCCTAGATAAGGGTAACGCCAAGCCACAAGTGTTCTTCATGGGGAAAAAGGCAAGTGGAGCTACAGAGTAGAGCTAGAAGGGAAGGGTAGGCACTTAAATAGATCTTATATAATGCAGAAAAATTATGTGTGTTAGACAATAGAGGTATATAAGGATAATCGTGTAAGCTGTTGAAGGGTAGTTAGTAATCGTAATGGTATGGTCTAGAGAATATAATTTCTTGGGAGGGAGAATACCAACCCTCTCGAATGCCTAGGTGGCTAATGTTGCTTTGATATTTCAATTCAAGATAGAAGTCAGTTAATTTTGACTGTATCACGTGGCTTCTTTCTTGAAGAATGTCAGTACCTATCTTCGTACTCCGACACTCAAAATTTAACAGCTCTTTAATTTTTCGAAAAAATAGAAAAGTTCTCTCTCTTTCTGCGTTTCTCTCTCCTATGCATCAAAAGTTTATTAGCGGTCAGCAAGAGATAGATGCTGAACTATTATTCTTCTTTCTTCACCCCTACAGTTAATATTCTTTCTGGCAAAACAAAAAAAAAAACATAGAGGCATATTTAAGAAATTGGATAAAAGCTGCTGCGACTGACAACTACCTAATTCCTTAGGGAAAAAATAATTCAAATAAATAATACAACTACCAACACAAAATAAATATTTCTAGATTTCACATCTGATTTAATTAAATTATGGGACTGGGAGAATATACTTCCCCAATTATTATAAACCAACCCGGTTCAAATTTAAACCAGGCAGGACAAACTGGATCTCAAAATGGCATGAAGAGACTCAAAACTTGATGTACATTAGAAATAGCCAAATAGATGCATCTAAAGTTGTCTAACCTTTGAACCGACTTCAGTAGACGTAGACCCCAAACTTGGCTTCTATTTCTGTATGACTAAGTTATGCCTTAAGCTATTGATTCTTGAAAAAGAAACAGATCTACTAATTCCGAACAAATAGAGACAGTTCCTTCTCACAACAGAGCCTTCTACATTACTCCCTGTCAATACAATATCCAAATCCATGGATAAAATCCTTCAAACTCTGTGAAGAATAAACTCCTAATGGAAAGATCCAATGTCAAAGCTCTGTGTCGCTGTCATTAGGCACAAACTCTTTGGGGCATACTTAAACCAAGTCAAAATTCAAGAAAAGTTGCTCACTTATCTCTAGATAAGTAGAATTACAAATGGAACTACATAAAAATCCACGTCCTTCTAAAGCAATATTCATGATTTGAATATGGTAGCACTTGCCCACTCATGGACCCAGATTCATTATTGCATAATTATCACAAAGATGATAGAGTAGGTTCTTATATGACATTCGAAGTATCCTCTTGACATCTGAAGGATTAAGGAAGGATTAAAAATGATTATTAAATTTAATGACTGATAAGGAGGATGTAGATTCATGAGAAATTATGCCATAGGGAAATGACCTAACTGTAAACATAGTGGGTCAACTAGACATAGTAAAGGATCAGGGATGTGTATCACATCAAGATTAGCGACATATCTAAGAATAAGGTGCCCAATACTAGTATAATGAGTGTTATAATCGGATATTCACATAGGATCGGGTGTGAATTTGGCATTTGGAATCATGGAATGCAAGTATATTTACAAAGTGAAACAAAAGAACAGAGAATTAGGCAACTTTAATTCTCCTTTTCCCCTTATAAGATCGATTGTAATATTAACTGCCTAAAGTACACAACCATAGTCTTTGAAGCTAAAGAAACCATACCTCCTCAGTCCTCACTTGGAAAGTTGAGCACAAGTGAAGCCAGCACGCACAAGGTCATTGATTGCGTCTCTAAACCTGATATAATCTTCAAATTTATTGTACACTTGATGAGAAATTCGGGCATATCCTGTTACAGGGCTCATTTCTTCCTTTTTCGGAGCACGGTAATATATTGGGACTTCGACTCTAAATTCTTCCCGCAAATGCGTCCTCAACTTCAGAGTATCAGATTCACTCAAGATGCCCAAACATGAAGGCAGCCCCACCATGATCATACTTGCACACATATTTGGTGGACAGCCAAGAGGCGTCTTCCATGATCCTGCCAACATCTCTCCCATCTTAACAACAGCCTCATGATTCCGTTTCTTGATTCCCTTAATCCCATCTTCAAACCTATTAACAAACTTCAAAACCGACGGCACCACCAATTGAGAACTATAATCCCTGGTTCCAATCCAAGCACTTTCTATGGGCAACCCATTACCGTACTCGTGAGAAACAACAGGATGATGCAAATCAGAAAGACTTGGGGACCTCCTAGAATACAAGAAAGCAATAGAGGGTGGGCAAAAGAACCACTTATGCAAATTACTAGTGTAATAATCAGCCCCAATTTCTTGCATATCAATATCAGTACACCCAATAGCATGAGCAGCATCAACAAAAACTTGGTCAACACCCTCTTCCCTACAAATCTTAACCAATTCCTTAACGGGAATAACCACACAAGGCATGGATGTAATATGGTCAATCACAGCCAGACGAACCTTCCTACCATTGGCCTTCCCTCTCTCCAAGGCCTTACGAAATTCACATATAATTTCATCATTAGACTCAACGGGGAAAGGCAATTGAACCTCAATAACATACCCACCAGCTCGAGAAACGTACGCCTCTATGGACTTCTTCACAGCACCATACGCGTAGTGAAGCATAACCGCAGCATCCCCCTTCTCGAACCTCCCATCCGCAAAATCCCTAGCGATTTTCTGAAGCACTATGGCGGCGGCAGTGGTGGCGTTATCGACAATAGAGACCTCGTCGATATGCTCGGCATTGATGAGGTCCTTGATTATGGTTCTGGATTCAAAAATCCCCTTCTTGAGCTCGTTGAAGTAGAAGTTGTCGGGCTGGCGGAGGAACTTGAGTTGCCATTGCTGTTGGGCGGAGATGACAGAAGAAGGGCAGCAGCCGAAGCTGCCGTTGTTGATTCGGGCAACAGAAGGGTCATGGTGGGAGAACTCAGATTGAATTTCGGAATCAGAAATGGAAGTGGGGGCGAGTTTGGGCTTCTTGGGCAAGTGGGTATTGGCGTCACCGTTGAGATGGGGGGCAGAATCGGGCTGAAGATGATTTTTTTCACAGTGGGAAGCCATGGGAGGGGGAATTTAGGGTTAAAAGAGTGGTGGGTGAGACTGAAATTGAAAGAGAAACGGGAGAAAGGCGAAGAGGGAGAGCGAGAAATGGAAAAAGAGAGAGGAAATGCGATAAGAGGGGGAGAATTGGGAAAACGTCAAGATGAATGAAGAGAAAAATAATGAAACTATGGACAAGTGGAGATGTGCTCTGCTACAGAAGAGAGAGAGAGAAAGCTATGGCGTCCTCCATTAACAGAGCAAACTGGTCAAGTGGCGCTATTTTAGCTCTTGTGCTTCACCATCTCCACCCACATATCACACACCTGACTTCACATTTTTACACCTACGGATTACAATACCAAGGTTAACAGGATATTTTGATCTTAACTTTAAAGTCGACATGAATGACATGAATATGATTTCATTAGTCAAAGTCATTACCTTGTGTCTGAAATTCAAAACTTYTTTGGTAACGTTAATGTTTCTTGTTTCTGTTTTTTCATTTTTAATAAAAAAAAAATAGAGTGCATGACCCTAACATCCATGAATTCAAGTACGATAGAATAAGCTTTTTTTATTTATGTTTTGAAACAAATTGGAAATGTGAACAAGAAAGAAGAAATTTGTTTTTGTTGTTCCCAAAATTTCAATACAATTGAGAATGTTCCCAAATAAAAAGAAACAACAAACATAGTCAGTGACAAAATGCTTAGATTTCTTAAGAAAATTAGAAACGAGAAACAAGAAATGAGATTATCAAACGAGTCCTTAAAGATTCAATTCTCTCATTTCTTGCGCAGAAGTCAAGAGAAAATATTGAACTTTAAAAAGTTTATCATATGTCTTATAGGTATATTCGTAATTTTATAGTTCCGTAATTCCTTTTTTTTTATTTGTTGATTGAGGTTGTCACTTTAACAATGCGATGTGCTGTATCAACAACTATACAATCGTGTTGATGACAGAAACTTATGAAAACCAAAAGTGATGTATTTAGACATAATTACAACTTTTCAAGCTTCAAGAACTAAGTAAAACACTAGGGACTTATTTTATTACTGAACTGATTGAATTCTTAAATTTTCTCCAACTTGCAAAATCCAATCCCACCCTTTATAAACCATAATGTTGTCTAATTAAAAATTGCTAATCAAGGGGCCCCCATTATGTGTTACTATTCAAGCCTTTTAAATTCCTAATAGAATTGCAGATTAGAAAGATTCCAATGTAGCAATCATGATTATAATGTCAAACAGAAAACAATTTAGGTAAAGTTTTTTTGTTAAATAAAAAAATAAATTGGACCAAAAACGTTTTAGGGTTTGGTTAGAGAATGTACGGCTCAGCTTCACCTGATAGTTGAGAAGGTGGGACCATAATTCTTATTGCATAAATAAAAAGGAATATATACATGTAGAATTGGAGTTGAAAAAAAATGTCTTTTTGTTTGGAAAATTACAAAAATGTCTACTCAAGAAATGAAATTGGAGTTGCTTTATAGATAAGCTAATACCAAAACTACCCCTGACAAGAAGCTTATGGTTTCCTAATCATCTTCCTTTTTTTTTCTCCAATTCACATCACTCCTCAAAAATATAAAGCATGATAGGATTTTATTGACATATAAATCAATAATTATCGTTGAGATTCAAACTCACGATTTTTTGATCGAAGAGAGATATCTTAACCAGTTGACTTATGCACAGGTTAAATTATCGTTGATTTGAATCATATAGTTCGAAGTGTACTAAAACACAAGGAGATTAAGCACAAATCATTAAAAAAAAAAGCAAGCTATGAGGCATGTAATAAAAAAAACATAATTAAATTTTTCATATTGAAAAATACAGCAAAATAATAAGAACTATAAGAATATGGAATTTTTGTGAGAAATTGGAGACAAAAGAGAGATTTTCTAAGGGTATTTCAAAAGTTTTTTATCTAGACATAGGCAACTTCTCAAAAGAACAACAAATAGGGAGAGAAAGAAGAAGTTCTTGATCACATATACATCAATCTTTCTGATTAGGATCAAATGGCAGACTCATTATATAGAGGAGACTGTGAAAAAGATAATATATGAGTTCGTTAGTGTCCGTATTAAAACGGTTAAGATATTTAGTAGCCTCTTTGAGTTCAATCTCACATTTGTCATTCTATATTTAAGAAAAGAAAGAATCCGTCCCATTACAAATGTGATTGTTGATCTCTGAATGTCAATCACCTAACAACTTTCCTTAATCTAGACTTGTATGAATAGCAACATTCAGTAAAACAATCAAGACATTAGTAACCTCTCTTGTAAGTTGAAAGATTGAGTCTCCCACTCGCATTTGTAATTCTATATTTAAGAAAGGAAATAATATGTTACCATTATGGTTACGATTGTTGATCTCTGAATGCAAATCACCTTACAACTTTCCGTTTATCATAAGCAGCTATATTCTGGGGTTCACACTCTGGACTGAATAACCGAACAAGCAAAGCCGAGGTTGCACTCATCGATACTGCTCCACAAGCTGCCCAACGGAGACTCCTAGGTACTGTGATTCTTGGACCTGTCACAAAACAGAATCCAGAATCTCACAGGCTTAAGTATGATACTAAAATCCCACAGGAAAAATCCACTGTAAAAGGAAAAGGTGGAAGAAGATAGACAAGGCTGTAGCACCACCACAACTTATGCTTTGGATTGGGTTTGGATCTAAACTTCAATATTATTTTTTATTCAATCAAAGTTGTTCTTGTTTTCTATCAAAAAGAGAAACAAGAAAAGGTGTTTGAATTTGCTTGAACTAAATCCAACTGTCAATCACAAAAGGGCAGTGGGAGAAGAAATATCATATGTAGGCTATGGTTGGGGTACTCTTACTCTTAGTACAGCCAAAAACAATTTTGCTATGGCTAAAGTACTTTCCATTCAAAATCATTATGTTAGTTCGAGGATAACAGAAAATTACTTTTAGAAAAGGTAAACGACACCAAAGTGCTTCGTGAGAAAACATTTACAAAATACTACGGAAACAATTAAAAACACGTTTAAGAATATAGAAGTGTAAAACCAAACATCGATATAATTCATCATCAATCATTTTTTCTAAACAAACCATCATCTATCTTTCTATACCCTACCACATTAGTTCAGTTAATCCTGATACCTGATCAAACTCTACATATGTTTAGAAAAGATTTAGAATTGAAACCAAGCTGAAAAAATGAGAGTATACAAAAAGGCCAAGAAAAACCCAACAAATACGGACAAACAAAAACGGCAGCCCAAAAAAGAAGCCAAATCAAAAGCTAACGTACAAGAAAATGCTCCAATCTAGAAGAACATTGGCCTAATGAATAATTACAAAAGAAGGCTATGGGCTTCCATTCATATGGAGTAACTAAATATATTGAATCTACAAGAAAATAATTATTGATTAAAGTTCCATTTGAGTTCACTGAAAGTTGGTCAGGGAAAAAGAAAAACATCCAATTTGAATATGCATTTAAATCCAGATGAGTTGAGAAAGATACTTGACAGACCATAATGTAATCTACAGAGAATCCAGAACGCAAGTCCTCCTCCCACAGTACATAACCCAGCAGTCTGTTTCATCAACTGTGGACAGGGTGTAGCATCTGACCTCATTACCTCACCATCTGAAAATCCTAAGATACGTCTAAGTGCCATCTGTAGATTTCCTGGACCAGATCAAAATTGATAATTCCATAAACGTAAGTTTGGAACATTTGTTGCTTATGCAGAAACTAAAATTCATTCAGTCACTCTAAAACATCAATCGAGGCAATGCTCCAAACCAAGGGCAGAGCCAAGAAGGAAGGAGGAGGCAACTGCCCCCTTTCTTAACTTGTCGTGAACTCAAAAAGTTCCCCTCAAATTTTAAATTTGAAAGATTTTTTTCCTTTTTTTTTAATAACGGAGAGTAGGAGCTTTGCTCCTCATACTTGAAGAGTTCACCAGAAGTTTCGAACTTGAAACCTCTAAGCCAATATAACCAAGAGATCCCAATCTCTTGCCAACTAGGCCGCTTGGGAGCTTGAAAGATACTATATATAAGGCGAGAATGTAAAACTTTGCCCCTCCTAAAGGATAGATGAGCTTTGAGGCTTTTACTCCTAAAACGACAAGCCACAAGCCTGGAATTAGTATGAGGCATAGACCTCAAATCCAAATTGAAAAACATTGATACAATCATACAAATGAACGACAATGTATAACTAAACATAGAGATTGAAAACAAGTGAAGGGAAAAAAATCTCACAATCATCAATTATCACTTTACAAAATAAACATTCTAAAGATGGTACTCAAAATCATAATCATTGTCATTTCAATAGTCACCTCTAGGATTGATCTCTGGAGGCAAGAATCAATGCTTGACGAACATGAGAGAAGTTAGCAGAGTTACCAAATACCAATAAAACGCCTCGTTTAAACTCTAAAATTTCACATTCTAGGTGGGGTTTCTTCAAATCAGCAGTGTCAGGGCTTTTAAACCAAAACCAATTTCAATTCTGTTGTTGGGGCTCGTTTAAGAAATTGCTAGCATTCAGCGATTTCACCAATAAATAGAAATCAAAGGAAAGACAAAGAAACTAATATACTACCGAAAAATCACAATCTGTATCGATCTGCAGTACGTGCGGAGATTAGAGAGGGACAGAAATGGCGGGACCTTATGGGTTGGCGCCGCGCCGCTGGTCTGAGTTCAAGTAGTACAGAGAATTGCGACTCTGGAGAGAAGAAGACGCGGATAGTAGAGCACAATGGTTTTTTTTTTCCATTTCCTCTTTTTTTTAATTAATAAATTTAAGGTTTTTTTTAGTACAAATAAATTTAAGGTTAAAACAAATTTTTAAACGTCACCGACGTCAATTTCATATTGATAAATATTGATATTAATGACTATTTCTGTAAAATTAGAGATAATTATAAAAATTATTTAAGCAAGCAAATAAATATTTTTCTATTTTTAAATAAGTTAAAAATCATGAATATTACGTATACGACATTTTGTTGATATTTTTCATATTTTGTCAATATTTTTTTGTAATATGATTAAAATATTGATTTATTTCATATATCGATGTGAACCTATGAATACATGTAAATGTCGACTTGTCGATGAATATTTAATACCATGTGTTTAAATACTATCATTTTTATCTTTTGTAATTTTAAATCGTTATTTTTAGTCCATGTACTATTGACTTTTGTTTAGGTTAATATTTTCAAAGTATCAATTTTGATTTTTGTACTTTTTAAGTTAAAAAGAGCGAGGGATTCGGGTTCTACTGGTAAAGTTTTAACACAAATTATATGGTGAAAACTTTTTAATACAAATTTATAATTATATTACAATAAATTTAACAAGTGGAGTAAATACTCATACCAAAATAAAACGAGTGAAGTATGATATAAAACTATGCTAAAATAAGAATGAAGTGACAAAAATTGTCGATATTTAAAAATACATGTACTAAAATATAAATATTTTAAAAGTAGGGAAATTTTATTGAACAAAAATTTAGACGTTTTGAAACAAAATCAAAATATACACAATAGTATTTAAATTTAATTTAATTTGATTTGATTTTTTTCATAAAAATGGGCTGAACTAAAGGGGAGCTGGGGCACTTGGGCCTCGAGGGAGGAGTGCTGGACTGGGCCGAGAAAACTGAGTTTTTTCAAGGCCCATTAAAGTTTTATTTTATTTTATTTATCTTCTTCTTCTTCTTCTTTTTTTTTTTTTTTCAAAGGAAATTTTTTCCCATCACAGCTCTACCATCAGCTTGGAATCAAGAAATTAGAAGAGGGATTTTAAATCAGTAGTTTGAAAAACTAAAAAACAATTTAAAAATTTGTTAGGTTGTTTGGAACGAAAGGGAATTGATTAAACAAAATTTTTGTTTGAATGTTTTTGCTGGAAATAAAGAGAAAATTAATAATTTCACTATGTCTTAATTTGTGAATGAAAAATAAAATAGGATGAGCTTGAATTTATAATTAAGTTTGAAATCTTGAATAGTATGACCATTTTACCCTCTGTTTCGACCAAAGAAACTTCAACAATTTATTTTCAAACTCATGATTTGAAATTACTAAACTGAATTCAATTAAAATTTAAACCATTCACATAAACTAAATAATTGTTTTCAAATATACTAGAAAGTTTGAAATTTTATACCCTTCGAACTAAATGTTATGTAAAAGCGTTTAGAAAAGTCACAATGATGTAATATTCAGAAAAGAAAATGAAAAATATCGACATAAATATAGTCCAATTGATCAAAATAAAATATATATCATTTACTAAATGATTAAAGGTTTGAATTATCACCATAGAAGTTCCTTTTATGAAATATGAACATAATTTAATAGTTAATATACTAAAAATTTAAAAGTCGAATTTTAAATATGTTTTAATATTGTAGTAAAATATTACCTTTTATGATATCAATTAGAAGACAAGAAAATAGCGAAGACCAACGTAGATCCCCCTATGGTTCATATGAATCACTAAGAGAGTTTTCACTTTAAGAATTATTAAAAAAGCTGTCTCTTTTTTTTTTTCCTTGTTATTCTCGTGTTGGTTTAAAAACAAATCAAAATAATGTTACAAAAAGCTGAATTGTCTGAAAAGATTCCACAGCCAGACATTAGAATTGGAAGATCCAAATTAAAAGAGGGAAAATGGTGAAATAATTTCAATGGCACCATTTTAGTTTATTTATTTTCATTTTATCTTATTTTTTTCGATCTCTGACTCAAAAGAAATTAATGATTTTTCTTATTAAGCTCACTTGAAGGTTTGAACTTGGAATCTTTGAGCCCGTATTATCTAGAGATTTCAATCTCTAAGTTGTCCTTCTTTTTTGTTTTGATAACAACTCTAAGTTGTCCTTTAAAGGCTAATATGTCAATCATATTATGTTTATTGGTTTAAATGCTTCGTTGATTTTATTCTAATTTAATGATTACCTTATGCTAATTTAATTTAACTTTTTTTTTTTTGGCATAGAAATTAAACTATTGAGGATTAATAGTTGTAAATATCATACCACCAAAAATTGAATGAATTCAATGACACATTAGAATTAAGAGTATAAGATACCCCATGAAAATTTAAGATCTATAATTATTTGCTCGTCAGAAGTATATATATATATATATATATATATATATATATATATATATAATTCAGCCTAGGCTAAAAATAGGTTTGGTCCTTAATGTTTGAATACTTTTTCAATTTGATCTAATGTTTTCAATATTTCTAAATTATATCATTCCCGTAGGTTAATGTTAAAACTGTCTGATTATAAACTTACATAACATGATATACTAAGTGATTCGGTACAAATTTAGACGAGGAAACATGTCAAGTACTGGGAGATAAAAGTTTATAATTCTTCCACCTCTAATTAAATTTCCAAAAATTTTTGTAGAAATTTGAACTTTTCTTCTCCTTACGTGCCTTAATTTCTCTCCTCTAAATTTTGGCCCACTCACTCAACTATTATATGCTATATAAACCTATAATTAACTAATTTTAAAACATGATATCGTTAAAAATGTTAAAACATTATAGACTAAATTAAGATATTCTAAACATTAAAGTAGCGTAGCGTTTTGACTCGTACATAATTCGTGTTGGAGAAAGCCAAGTATATGAAAAGAAAAAAGGCCCAAAAATGGAAGTGGGCATTGAAGCTATTCAAAGAAAGCAAAGGAGAACCAACAAAAATATATGCTTTTGTTTTTTCCTCTTTTTTTCCAAAGAACAATAGTGTCATTTCGTAGGTCTTCACAATTAATTGAAGTAGGTCTTCAAAAAACACAAACTTTAATTTAGATTCTCAGCCAAGTGAATAATGAAAAATATGTCCCCCAGCTTCCTTTTGACGGCTCTTTTCTCTTCCTTTTTCTCTTTAATTTTAATTTACTCTCTATATAAATCCCAAAACCACTTCTTTTGTCTCTCAACAACCAACTTTAGTCTTCATTCTTTGTGATAAAAAGAAAAAAAAAAACACCTCTTCTTCTGCAACCTTTTCTAGGGCTTCCATGGCTGCATCCAGCAACAACAAGCAGCAGAAGCCAAGGAAGTCATCGTCGGCCTCGTGTCTCTTTTCGTGGTTCGGCGTGTTCAAGGCTCGAGACAGTAGGAGGAGGCGGGACGGGGACGATGCGATGGAAGACACACGAAAAGTGTGGCCGAGCGACAGCGACAAGGGCAAGCACTRGGTGGCTGAGCCTGGCATCGATAGGAAAGCGAAGGCTTACATCGATAGGATCTACCAAATCCGCTTCTCCGAAACCGAGTGTAAAACTCACACCGAGCCATTGAATTAGTTTTGTTTTCCCTTATTCTTCATATACATGTAATTTTTATAGCTAATTAAGTATTTATGCCCCTTTTAATTATTATATGTAACTTCTCCTTCTTTATGTAATATATTTCAAAAAGTTAGTATAATCCTAATTTACACATAAATTGTTGTTAGATGATAGATCCAAAAATTTGACTTTGAGGGAGGTTCTTGTGATTTTATGCACTCTTTGATCTTAATTAAGAAGTTTTTCTTTTGAATCATAACAACATACCATATATAATTACACGTCAAATGTTTTCAATAGTCYACTTATTTTCATTATTAAATTCGTACTTACAAATATGTTTTTTAATATTTTTATGTGTAACTAAAGTGAATATACATTGTTACTATTTAATATCTTATTTTGTCATAATTTTATAAATATTTATCTTTTTCTCTTGAACTTAATCATGATATATAATGAAAAAAACTGGTTGATTAGATAACTTAATCTTTCTTGTTCATATTTCAGTTATGATATTATAAACCCTAGCCATGCATATTATTCAACATTTTGATTTCATATATATATTTGTGAAAATCACTCCCTAAAGTTTTTTTTTTCTATATGAGGTTTCTTTTGAGAGAATGGATCTTTTAAAATAATTTTCTGTTTTAGTAATTGGTTAAAACATACTAATTTGGGTAACTCCATTTTCATTAATTTTTTTTAACTTAGTGTATTGTTTTATCATAATAAATGAAGTTTTTTTTTTAACATAAAGTTGTAAGGTGTGTGTATAATTAATGATCTCTTGCATGTTTTGAATCATAATTTTAGTAAGAATAGAGGCTTATGAAACTTGGGATTCGAAATAATTTTTAAATTTGTGTACTAATGTGTGTTTAGTTTGTGAGTTATGATCTATAAAAATTGATATGMACTACATATAAAAGATAATTTTAATAAGATAAGGTTTATGTAATTTAAAGTTTTATGCAAAAAAACATTGGATAAAATTATTAAATTCAATTATAGTATGACACGATGGAACTAATAGATCAAATAAATCGTTCAATTTTTTTATTTTTTTTAAATACAACATATTGAGATGGCGGATGGAAAACTTACCACCTCTAATTAGATGTATATGTCAATTATTACTGTTGAAATATATTCACTTCGACGGATGACTCCATTTTAAATTACATGAACCTAACTTATCAATAAAATGATTTGAGTGTTTAGTAATAATCTCTCATCTTAATTCTTCCAAACATTTTTTAAAACAAAGACAAAACCCATTTAAAAATAGATAGTTTCTCAAACAATTGTTTTTTCCTTTCCTTTTGGGAATAATTACAATCTAAATAATAGGGGGTAGAATTTAGAAATTCAAAAAGCTTTGTGATATTCTATAAAAAAAAAAAAAAAAATCCAAATCTTTAGTAAATGGGAAAGGGGAGAGAATAATTGAATATTCTGCCCAAAATTTAAAGAGTCAACTATGGGTTGCTTTTATTAGTATAAATCCTCATCTTTNATCCAAATCTTTGACATGAAGGTTATATTTAAATATGAGTAGAAATTCAATTAAATGTCACTACATGAACTAAGGTTTTTTCTACGTTACAAGACGTTGGAAAATTTTTTAAAAATTTGGGAATAATTTTTTCCAACGAGATAAATGTATTGGGAAAAACGTTGGGTAAAGTCCGTTGGAAAAGATTACTCCCGATGGTTTTTCAAAAATAGTTGGAAAAAATTTAGTTTTCCCGACTTTTCATGCATCATCTATTCTAAACTTAATTTGATATTTAAAGTTGCCTTGACTTTAAATATTGGTAGCCATTATGTATGAGGAAATGAAATTTATAGCTCATTTAAATTTGGTACAAAATGAGTCTAATTAAATTGTGTTTGATGGCATTTTGAATTAATTTTTATATTGTTGATTAAATTTTCCAAATTGGTTTGAACCAACCAAGGGTGATAATTCTCTCTCCCCAATATTTCGTTGTTAATTAAATAACTAAAACACATGGCTTCATATTAGTTAAAAGTGGAAAAAAAAAATCTTAAGAAATTTTTTTTCTAGAGACCATTTTGATAGAATGCAATAACAACAAGGAGTTCTTTTGAAAAAAAAAAGAATATATATTATATATTGAAGTGAAACCACACTTTTTTTTTTTTGGTAAGAAATCTTTCAAAGAATTATTAATTAAATGAACCCTCTAAAAACACTAAAGTTAACTATTAAGAAATTTCAAAATCTCTGTTTGCTTATCTAAAACTCGATATTACAAAAATTTTGAAAAACGCTTTTAATTGACTTAAAATACTTTTAACTCTTTCAAAAGTCACTCTCAAAATAATGCCCGTTGAATTGGAAGGAATAAGTTCAGCAGCGGATCATAAAATCTTGGCGATCTTCTCTGTCTAATGAATAGAGGTTCGTTTTGAAATCGTCCGTCTTGCACCCACCCCGAGTAGACCAGGTCGATTGATCCGTTTTAAATTTTAAATAGTTTTATATGGTCATTTCCTATTTCTTTTATGTCGTTAAGTACATATAATTGATTAATAAGAGTTTTCCTTTTTTTTTGAAAAATAATCAGAGTTTTCCTATTGATTCTAGGATATGTGGTTTATTTTTAGCAATGAAATCCTATCTTGTCGATTAAATGCAATAAAAATAGACCTATTGGCCACGAGTGTATGCCTAGACAAGTATTGTTCCTAAAACAATGTGAACTCTAACTAGATAATATTCATGTCTTTGTATAATATGGATGTATTTGTTGTCTTAGTAGATGACATAAGAGCTATGGTCGAACAATAAGTTTATCTTTATAATTATATTTTTTATTTTGAGTTCAATGAAGGTCGAAATTTAAACATCTAATATTTAAAATAAATATATGTTATCTTAACTAGTTGAGCTATATTATAGCTGGCTTGTTAAAGTCAAATTTTTTAAATAGAAGTAGCTTACTAATTAATATTTTGGCTATTTAATAATACATTTTCAATGTATTGGTTTATAGAGTTCTTCATTAATTATTAAAGCTCATTTCAATAATGTTTTTAATTAAAAAATATAAATGTGTTTAGTAACGGTTTCTAAGTCTAATTAAAAAATAGTACTATGTTTGGATATTTAAAAATAAAAATATATTATTATATGAAATTTAATATTTAACTTAAATATAAAAAATTATTACGTTATATTCACATTTCAATATTTATTATGTCTTTTATAAATAAGCAATAATAAAAATATGTTTTTAGTCCAATCGAGTATAACTAATTGATGTATATCTCAAACGAGTTGGATCTGTATCCTATGGACTTACTAAAAAAGACATAATTATTCATATTTTTTAAAAAAGTAAAAATAAAAACAAGAAACGAAAATATGGGATATTTGTTTTGGGTGGAATCTCACCGGACAAAAACCACAAACGTTGTATAAAGCATAGCGTTGGCAATTTGCGTTAATTTTCGACAAGACTAATAAGACACGTGTCCTCATTCCTTGCGCAACACTCATTCACACAAGTGAGTGATTATAATTCAATCCCACCATATAAAGTTTATGCCTTTTTAATTCAAATTTCGAATATTTTTATATACAATTTATGAATCTTATACATGTTTATAAAAAATTATTCTCTGATTTTTATATTAGTTAGGTTGTTTAGTTTCTAAGTTTATTCATTTGACCACGGCTGATAAATTCTTTGTTCTGTTTCAAATCATGTAAATCAATGGTCCATAACTCAAGATTCTAAGTTTAGAAGAGACAAGACACGTAGATTATGTTAATTTATTGTATTCTTTTCGAGAACCCCTGCTTTAAATTTATTCCATGGGTATATTAACTTGTTCTAATTTTAATTATTACTGTGTTTATTAGACCATTCAAATATAGTTTTGTGTCTTTTCTAAATTTTGAGAACTTTAACTTGTTTAATACATTTGAGAAAAAAAAAAGGTTTAAATCTATATATTTTTCTAGTTAAATAATTATAGAAATGAAAATCGAATCGTCAACTTTTAGGATGATAATATGTGTGCTTTATTCACTGAACTATGCTCGAATTAATATTGGAGAGTTCAAGTCTCGTTTTAGTCTAAGAAATTTTAAGATTATTTCGTTATAGCTTATGAAGTGTTAAGATGTCTATTTGTCTTTTTAAGTTTTAGATTTATTTCATTTTTGTTCCTGATATATATATATATATATATATATATATATATATATAGTACAACATGTGAGTGTGAGAGATCCAACTCACAACAGATATATATCAATTACTGCTGAGCTACGCTTTAGCTAAAATATATATTTTAGACATTACCGTTAAAGCTATGCTTATGTTGTCAACTTGAACATATATGTATTAATGTACCAAAGGTGGGCATATACTCGAGTTGCTCTAGGTTAGCTAAAGCAAAAATTTGAGTGCAGTACATTTAAGACATCTTACTCCTTCTTTAAAGGTTGGGGGTTCAATCTATCATCTCTATATTTATTGTACTAGAAAAAAGAAACAAACAAAATCATTTAAAAAGTTTAAAAAGCTTATTTTAGTCGCTAACTTGGTTTAGTACTACTTTCTTGCCATGTTGAATGTATGATCCAAGGATTATGCAGCTATCTAATTTCGAGTAATCAAGGTATTCGATGGCTTAATTAATTAGATGCAAAATTAAAAATCTAAAAATTTATTATAAGATCGAATCGACACAACTTAAAAACTTCATTAAATTGTAAAGTATGATACTAATACAGGTACTCTAAAAGTTTATGATCCAAACTTATAATTTCATTAAAGTATGATACTAAATACAGGTAACTCTAAAAGTTTATGATCCAAACTTATAATTTCATCCATTTATATCAAGTGTATGGTTACATGTTTATTATTATAGTGCTTGAACTTAGAAAAAGAATTCTTAATTTACATTTTAGTTGTTATATTTTTAAATTTATTTTATTAATTTTCAAATATCTATTTTAATTCATAATTTTTAAAAAAATAAATATTTTGATCCTTATCTTTATTTTACTTTTAATAAATTTATAACATATCTTCAAATATATGTGTATTAAGATAAGTATATGTATTTGAGTCACGTAGGTTTTCTTTGACAAATATTGACTCACCAGATATTAAGAGTCAGTATATTTGATAATGAAAAATAACCTTTTTTTTTTTAATTCAAAGATTAAAATAAAACAAAACTATCAGATATAAGAGATTAACCGGAATTCCAATATCTTGCAAAAATATTAAACGAAATATTGAACATAATATTAATGCCCTTTTCTTTATAATAAATTTATTGATTTGAATATTTGTCTAGAAAGATCTATTTATGTTGACATTATATCCACATTTTCATTATTATTAAAAGAAAGGATTATTTCTATAGAATTTAGATCTCAATATTTGAATTGATATCAACACTCTTTTCTTGGGGAAATTACAATGGATGACATAAATATCAAATATATTTTAAAAAGTGTCATGATTTTTTTTTCATCTTTTTAAAAAATGTCACAAACCTGACTTGTTCCTTTTTACTGTGGTATTTTCTAGTTTAAATCCAAAATAAAATTAAAATATTTAAGTAAAATAGTAAAATACATATTTTTATTTTACCATTTATGTAATAATATATCTTTTTTTTCAAATGAATTTTAAATTATAAGAGTTAAATCTCTACTAAATATTTACAAATTTTAAGTTACTGAACTTTTTTTTTTCTCAAAACACTGAACCTAAATTGTTACCTATAAAATTTAAGAAATAAATAATTTTTAACTACAACAACTAAAATTGAGAGAATTAAATTTCACAACTATATATATAGTTACAATTATATATATATATATCAAAAGCCTCTAGTTGAAAGGAAATGATATTAAATTTCACAAATTAAAAGATTAAATTTAAAATAATTTGGAACTCCTAACCAAGTGGATTTTAATTTTTAACAGTTAAAAAAAAACAGGTTTCAAATGTGAAAGAAACAAAATTTATTGGGAAGTAAAAATAAAATAACAATTTTATAGTATATTGATGCCTTATATTATATTTATTAAATATTAAAAAAAAGTAAAAAAACCTAATCCCCTCCCTTCCGCCTTCTTTTCCCATCGAAATGCGTAAACCCCTTCCCGCCGGCGTCCACCGCGTCTTTCCATAGCCGCTCGTCGCCGCCGTCGACGCTCAGTCTTCCGCAGCTTCCTCCATCTCTTGTTCGTATGTTCAATTATCTTGCGGAGCTAGAGATTTGTTTGTATGCTTGTAGAAGATTAGAGTTGTCTTGTGAATTTTCTTTGATTTATGATTTCTAGTCTGATTTTCGATTGATGCTGGGATCGTTCGTGGTTTCCTAAATGGTGATTTTTTGGGGCGTTCTATATTAATTCAATGTCTGGAAATGATTGACTGTATGAGTGGACTTTTTACTTTACTCTCGCCATGAAGTCCCGCAGATGCTCTAATTGATTTCTTATTCTTTCATATTGCAGGAATGATAACTGAAGATTGAGAGATGCTTTAGTTTCTTGGAGCACAATATACTGATCATTTTTAGCGTGGTAGTTCAGTCTGAGGTTATTTGCCTTTTTTGAGAAGTATTGTTACTAGGGAGATCTTCTCTACATTTGGGGTCATCCACAAAAGTTTTGTTTGCCATTGTGGATGAGTTATGACGAGAAAGATAAAGATTTACCCATGATTTATTGTATAACTGGCCGCCTTTAATGAAGGAGATGATATGAAATCCTTATTTGTGTGTGAGGTATGGTTCTCCCAATTCCACCGGAGAGATATGATCAAGTAGTGTAATTAACCATGCTTTTGCTACAACGCATTGTCAGAGTAGAATCTAAAACCAAAAGTGGGATTTTTGTTTCCTCATTTCGGGACATCTTCAATGAAGCTCTTGTATCTGATTTATCTTCCTTTTCATCTGTTGCTGGAATCAGTGGTAATGGAAACAGGGATATTCCCATCTTTTTCCCTTGGATGTCTGAGAAGATTGCTACAACGTTGACAGCAGCAGCAGGTGGAGATGGCATGATCTCCAAGGAAGTGGCGTTGTCTTTTAAGGAGTGGTTCAAATCTGGAAGCAACTCTTTGTTTGATCAAATCTTTCAAATCCTCCAAGGGGCTAGAGATGACCAAGAAACGACATATCGTCCTTCCACTGCTGATCTGGCTCTTTCTAGTCTTGGCCTTCGCCTCAATGAGTTATTTGTCTTAGATGTCCTCCGTTTTGGCTCCAACGATGTTCTGTCCTGCCTCAAGTTCTTTGACTGGGCTGGTCGCCAACCAGGCTTCTTCCACACACGTGCCACATTCAATGCCATATTTAAGATTCTCTCGAAGGCCAAGCTCATGTCCCTCATGTTTGACTTTCTTGACAACTATGTGCAGCAGAAATTTGTCCACAAGGTTCGTTTTTACAACACGTTGGTGATGGGTTACGCTGTTGCTGGGAAGCCCATTTTTGCTCTTCAGCTGTTTGGCCAAATGCGCTTTCAAGGCCATGATCTTGATTCTTTTGCCTACCATGTTCTACTAAATTCTCTTGTTGAGGAGAATTGCTTTGACGCAGTGCATGTTATTGTCAAGCAGATCTCTCTGATGGGATTTGAGAATGAGGTCACGCATCACATAATGCTAAAAAATTTCTGTAAGCAGAGTCAGTTAGCTGAGGCAGAAACCTTCTTGCATGGCTTGGTAAGTAGTGGGCAAGCAGTGAGTGGGCGTATGTTGGGCATTCTTGTTGGTGCACTTTGCAAAAGTGGAAACTTTGAGCGGGCGTGGAAGTTGGTTGAAGAGTTTAGAAATGAGTTAGTTTCAGTGGAGCATGTGTATGGTGTGTGGATAACACAACTTGTTCGGGCTGGAAAGCTGGAGAGTGCTCTACAGTTCTTATATAGCAGAAAGTCAGACGAAAGTTACATTCCGGATGTCTTCCGTTATAATATGTTGATTCATAGACTTCTAAGAGAAAACCGGCTTCAAGAAGTGTTTGACTTACTTATGGAGATGAAGAAGGAACATATTTCTCCTGATAAAGTAACCATGAATGCTGCCATGTGCTTCCTCTGCAAAGCTGGGATGGTGGATGTTGCACTTGATTTATACAACTCTAGATCAGGATTTGGGCTCTCCCCCAATAGTATGGCATATAACTATTTGATCAATACTTTATGTGGGGATGGAAGCACTGATGAAGCATATCACATCTTGAAAAATTCTATTGATCAAGGCTACTTTCCAGGAAAAAAGACATTTTCTATACTTGCAGATGCATTGTGTCGAGAGCGAAAGCTTGATAAGATGAAGGAGTTAGTTATTTTTGCCTTAGAGAGGAACTTTATGCCCAGTGATTCCACGTATGATAAGTTTATATCTGCTCTATGTAGGGCTAAGAGAGTTGAAGATGGGTATTTGATTCATGGCGAACTCAATAGAATAAACAAAGTAGCCGTACAGAGTACCTATTTTGCTTTGATAGATGGTTTTAACAAGTCAAACAGGGGTGATATTGCTGCAAGACTACTCATTGAGATGCAAGAAAAGGGTCACGTACCAACTAGGAAACTATTTAGAGCAGTTATTCGCTGTCTTAACGAAATGGAAAATATGGAAAAGCAATTCTTCAACTTGCTCGAACTACAGTTATCTCGTCAAGAACCAAGTTGTGAGGTATACAATAACTTCATTTATGGAGCTGCACATGCCAAAAAGCCTGAGCTTGCTAGAGAAGTATATCAGATGATGTTGAGAAGTGGAATTCAACCCAATTTAAGTTCTGATATTCTTATATTGAAGTGTTACTTATGTAGTGAACGCATTTCTGATGCTTTGAATTTTTTGGAGGATTTGTCTCAGTCAAGAATTATTGGTAGGAAAATCTTCAACACCATGGTTGTTGGTCTATGCAAAGCCAACAAGGCTGATATTGCACTAGATTTTTTGAGGGACATGAGGGATAAGAGTTTAACACCTAGCATTGAATGCTACGAGGTGCTGGCCAAGCAATTCTGTCAAATTGAAAGATATGATTTGGTGGCAAATCTTGTAAATGATCTAGAGAATGTCGGGCGCCATTTAACTTCCTTTCTTGGTAATATACTTTTATACAATTCATTGAAGACTCGAAAGCTCTATGAAGCTTGGGTTCATTCAAGAGAGGGGCTAATGGAGACTTCTCAAAGTTCTATGCTCGGCCTTTTAATTGGGGCATTTTCTGGCCATATTAGAGTCAGCCAGTCTATCAAGAACTTGGAAGAAGCGATTGCCAAATGCTTCCCACTTGACATCTATACATACAACCTATTATTGAGGAGACTAAGCATAAATGACATGCAACTAGCATTTGAGTTGTTCAATCGATTGTGTCAGAAAGGGTACGAGCCTAACAAATGGACTTATGATATATTGGTTCATGGTCTTTTTAAGCACGGGAGGACATCAGAGGCTAAAAGATTGTTGGAAGTAATGTACCGAAAAGGGTTCGATCCTACGGAGTGTACTAAAGCATTTATTTAATCCAACAGAGTTCACTAGATGTCAAGTCTACAGAAAGTTTGGATTCCCATCATGACCCTTCCTCAAAATATTATTCTATTTCATCCAATGAAGATGGGAAAGCTCTGTAAAGCTTTAGTTTGATTGAAAGGTGCAAACTAAGACATCCTGAAGCTCAATATTTTATTTTGTTATCATGCTTGTCCCATTATGGTTGTATTATTGTTATGTGTCATACTTTCCCGGTCATATAAACGTAATTATCTTCCTATTGTGTTATTTTCTCTTCAAATTATTTGTAACTGTCATGCAATTTCTTATTTAAGATATGTGTTCATTCATAAATATAGTTGGCAGAAAGTGGATAGATATAAATACTACCAAAGTATTGGAGATAACTCTATAGTTGTCCTGATACATTTCATGGATGTTTAACTAAGTGAAAATACCCTGATGGACATTCTTAACGTACTATTTTTTTCCCTATGCTAGGAGGAGAGACGGTTAGGTTACTCATTTGTTTGCTAGTTAGATTGTTGCCTACTTGGTAGTCAGTTATTTGGGTAGTTGGTTGGTCATTGTGTGCTGTTAGCTGATAAGTGATAACTGTGAGAATAGTTTCTATACTACAAGTACTGTTAAAGTTTATAACATGAGGAAGGAAGGGAGAGAAACAGTAACTTAAGTGGGGGAGTTTCTAAATCTCTCAAATTTTCTGGGTCTTTGTAGCTCTATTTATAAGAACTCTTGTTCGTACTCTCAGACTCTACTTTTTATATCATACCCTTGTGTACATAAACTTGCATAGAACATGGGTGCTTAATTGATTAATTAGCATTTCTTCTCTTTATCGACAGTTGTATGCATTTGGAAAGTGTTTCTACCTGTTATCTGTTTTTAAAGTTATAGCTAAGTATTTTCTCTTGAAATTGATGATGGGTTGTATAAGCTATAAAACAAAACTTGTCTTCTTCTTTCACTTTTTTTTTAGATAAAGAGCTATAAAACAAAACTTGTCTCTTGGGATGGTCTTATCTTATTTAAGTTGTTGAAGCAAGGAAAATTGAGATATCATTTCCAAGCCATTGGAGGCGAGGGGTTGGGATTGAGAATTTTAGATTCAGAAATGAGGCCTAGTTGGCTAAATAGTGCATTTTTCCAAAGAACATAATGCCTTGTTGTGTAGGATAATTGTGAGCAAATATGGGTTGCATCCTTGTGAATGGGTCTCAGCCAGTGGTCTCAAGATTTCTGGTAAATGCCCCTGGAGATGACACCAAGACTTATTTTTGGGAGGATTATTAGGTGGGCGCCAACCCCTTGTCTCTTATTTCCTCGCTTATTCCACCTGTCTGATATAAGGTTGTATTTTAGTGGCCTCGGTGTTGAGTCATGGGGGAATTCTCCTTCTATTTCTTTGGGTCTTTGTTGGTCTTTGACGGATAGGGAATCGTTGGAGATTGCTGCTTGAATTTGTAAGTATGGGACCGTTTGTTCCTTCAGGGGAGGAAGCACCTTTGTAATTTGTCCCCTAGCTCGTTGTTGGGTTTCTCTTCTTTTAAGCGTTCCCTCATTTCTCCCTAATTCCTTGCTGTTCGCGTTCGCCTCACGCTGGAAAGAAAATTTTCGAAAAAGATCAAGTAACTTGCTTGGCAGGTTTTTCATGGAAAAGTTAATACCTTGGACTATATTCTGAGCTGTTATTCCTTCTTGTGGGGTCCTTAATGGTGTGTTCTTTGAAAAAGTACTTCTGAGGGCATTGGACCATATCCTATGGAGTTGCCAGTTTGTCCAATTTATTTGGGATCAGGGAGAGGCTTTGGGGTTTCCTTGGCTTATGACAGGGAGAGTAGGGTGATGATGGAGGAGGTGATATTGTTTTTCCCTTTTCGGGATAGAGGAACAATAAAAATTTTAGGGGGATTGAGAGATCATGGG